TCAAATGAATGTAAAGGAAACGAGACAACCAAAATGACAAGTAAGAACGTGTGTATACCCGAATAGGTATAATAATACATGAATGCATGTGATTGGGGAATCGGGTAGTTGGCATGGCGTGAGACCTTATTCCGGAGGGCCGGGATATGGTTGAGCGTGTGATTGCGACATAGTCGGTGGTGGCCTGGAGGAGGCACCTGGCGCTCTGGCATCGAGAGGTGACATCGATGTCAGAGGGGATGGTTGATGTATTATGTTTTATGGAGTAGGGATTTGGATGGCGTGTTTTATTGTTCCGGCGATTGCCGAGGAGAGCGGGGGATGTGCGTTGCACATGGAGCGTCCTTACCCACGTGTGTGATGCACACGTGGAGATGATTTGACGGTACGGTTATTACTGAGAGACCCGATGGGTCGAGTTATGACTCGTGTACATATGTCCTGGACTGGTGAGACCAGATCCTTGCGGTATCCTATGTGTGCGATGCACATAGAGATGATTTGACGGTTATGTCCGATGATACATCATGCGGACTGAGTGTGTGTGAAAAGTGAATTAATTGTGCGATTGAGTGAACTGTGTTTTCCTGGCATGAAGTGTGTATATATGTATATACTTATATCTAGTGTGTGTATAATATTGATTGTGTTTGGCCATTTGCAATTTGAGTATGATCTTCGGGTCTAACCCGAAGTACTCACTAAGCACGTAGCTTATGGACGTTGTTATGCAACGTTTCAGGCACGGAGCAGTATTGGCAGCAGCAGGACGAGGGTACTGGTGACGTGTGAGGAGCTATCTGGATCATGTACTTTTCTTTCTTTGGACTTATGTTGGCTTGTACGGGCGGTGACCTGACTTTGTATTTTATTACAGTTACCGTCCTTATGCTGGTGTGTATACTACTGTACGTGGGTTTGTAAACAAATACTGGTTTTTGCGCTGCGTGTGTAATAAAATAAAATGTTTTTAAATTCCCGCTATTTTATTATATATTTGGGCGTCCATGTGGCACAACTCGTGAGCGGGAGACGGGTTACGGGTGTCACAGTCCCCATCCTAGTCCCTAACTCAATTCTTTACTTCTCTCATCTTTCCAAACATCATACCAAAATTTAATTAATATCAAAAGTTCAACTCATTCTAATAGTCTAATAATTAATATATTAAGAAACGTCATCACATAACTCAACAGAAATTTATCAATCATCAATCATCATTCATTATTCATCAATCATCGATTACCAATCATTAATCATTATTCATCAATCATCAATCATCAATCATCAATCAACATACATCATAAATCCGCAAGAAATTTAAGGCGTCTATCCTAAAGTCCTAACCGCATGATTTCTACGCTCGCTATCATCACGTCTAAACGATGAATCATGAAAAATTCGCTCTAATTCTCGATCCCAGGTTCAATAACCTCGAGATTTTCTTCACCTATAATTAATTATTATATAATAATTTTAATCAATAAATTATTTTTCAAAAATATTTACCACTGTAAAAAAAACGTTAATCGAATGGTAAGTTTTATCGTTAAACTGTTTTATTTTAAATCGTTCGAATATCTCTAAATACTTTGAATTTTATAAAACGGATTTCGGATTTGAAATCACGGGATTGAAACGGTTCAACTTATGTCACCGGAAAATTTTCCGGTGACGGTGGTCGGTGGCGGTGGTCGGCGGCCGGTGGCCAGCGGCGGTCATATATCCCGAAATCATATAATTTTTCTGTATGTTATGTAAAATCACTCAAGGAATCCAAATCCGAAGTTATTTTGGCCTAAATCGAATTAGAATTGTCTAAAAGTTAATTTTTCTCCGATGTTTTCCGGTGATTTTTCCGGTGACGGTTCACTGTTTCCGGCGACGACACTACCCAAGAAAGATTCAACTCGCCAAGAGCTTCCAAACCCCTCAAGTCTCGACCAAAACCGAGCTTCCGTTTGCCGGAAATCGGCAAAACTACATGGCAGTAAAGGAGAAGGAAAACGATGAAGAAAAAACTAAGCAAAGAGGGAGAAACGGACCGACGGTGATGAAGCGGTGGCCACGGGGCGGTGGTTGACGGCCGATGGCGAGCAAAGAGGTAAACCGGAGCAAAAATCTGGTTTTGGGCAAGCTAAGGTCGGTCATAGGAGGAAGAAGAAGAAGAAGAAAAGAAACCCTAGGAAAATTGCACTTTGGATCTTTTTTTTAAAAAAAATTTACAAAATTTGTCCAAACTTTTAATTCGTTCTAAAAGACCCTCATTGAAATAACAATTTTTTCCAGAACTTTTAATTTTTATCACCAAACCCCAATTCATTTCTTTTTTAAATTTTTGTTATATATCTGTGAATTTTAGATATATAGAAATATTTGTTTTAATTTTATTAAATCATCTCTTTGATATATTAAATACTATTTTGATATATTAAATATTTTTGTTTAGATTCATTAGATAATAGATACATTTGTAAATCATATAGTTTTAATTTACATTATATATATGTGTGAATTTTTGAAATATATAAATATTTGTTATAATTTTATTAAATCATCTCTTTGATATATTAAATGTTATTTTTGATATATTAAATAATTTTTTTTATTTTCATTAGATACATTGATTTTAAATTAGAATTCTTTTAAATTTCTAATTAATGTTTTCACTGAATTGTTTCAAACCTCATATAGAGTTTATCGGATAAGATTATAAACAATTTCTTTATTGCTTTCCCTCGAAATTAGGGTTTTATTCAAAATTGGTAAAAATACATTTATTTTATTTTCAAGTGTCTCAGTTTAGAAAATGACTTGAATGATTCGTTATGAAATTGACCGTTTGTGTTGGTCCAGCAAAATATATGGGCCGTTTCTAATGTTATTGGATGTCCATTTCACTTCCCAGAGTATTAACTAAGTAAAACTTTGACAAAATATTATCTTTGATTTATAAATTGATCCAAACTCATTTACGAGGAATATATAGATTTACAAAAAAATCATTTGAAAGAAAATAATCATGAATTTATGAATTTAATTTAAACAAATTTTATTACTTCAAATTTAATTTGAACTAATTTATAAATTTAATTTAAAATTTCGTTAGTACTTAAAAAATCAGGAATTTAATTTAAACAAATTTTATTGGATTAGAATGATTTCTTTGATTATGTTTGGTTTAGTCCAGTTCGTTAACTTCGTTTCGGTTCTTAACCAGTCAAAAGAAAACCAAGTAAACCGGGTATGTTCGGTTTAGATAAACCACGTCACTCGCAAACAAATACAATGAGAGAGAGAGAACCAGACCGTTGACTAATTTCCACGGCAAAGCCTCTCGCATGCACGCACGTTTCCGAGTGCTCGTTCACACCGTAACAACCGTAAACTCGTCGTAGAGGATCACTACTTCAACCCTTAAATATTGGCGAGAGTTCTTCGTTCCCGCTCCCACGCCTTGTTCTGTTCATCTTCCCCACCCGGCTCCTCGGATCTTCCATTTCTCTCCGTTTACTACGCCGCGAAAGTCTCAGTCATCGATCGACCAATTCCGCCTCCGATCTATTTTGTGTTTTTCTTCTCAATTCTTCGTGTATCTTCGCCATGAGCGGAGAGGTTTTGGTTTGTCTCGATGTGTATTAGCTTGATCGGAAGGAATTGGAGGTTTTTTGTCGGAATTCCGAAGGTTTCTGGGCGGCAGGATGGCTGCTTTTTTGTTCGTTTTCATCTTCTCGATAGCTGTGTTCGTCGCTTTCCTCTGGGCTTTCTTCAAGTATGTGTGTTGTTTATTTTACGTTGCGTTTTTTATCGCTCATCGTGGGTTCGAATCTATTCGTCCATTCGATTTCGTGTGAGCTAGGGATTTCGATCACCCTTTGACGGTTTCTGATCCGGGTTTTCTTTAAATGTTACTGGGAACTGATTTTGGTAATCGAATCGATTGAGTGGAAATTGCATTATGGTGAAATGAAAGATGACAACGAGGATCGTGTTCCGTTTGTTTCTCACTTCTGATTGACAAACCACTCATGAGCCTAAAATTGAGCACAATGCGGATTTTGTCATGCATGTCACTGAATTTGGTATAGAAATTTCGTACATCAGGAGGGCTGAGTTTTGTCATTTAGGTACATCTTTTGACACTGATTTTATCGTAGGTCGTTGCCTTGGATACTTCGAATTGCTGGGGGAATAACTCTAACTTATCGGCTCGATGGGTGGATCTGTGTGAAGGAAATTGTGATACAGTTAAAAAAGGTTTAAACTTCTTCTTTATGCTATTTGAAGTGGATTTGCCCTGCATTTTTTTTTTGTTCCCGGTTAGTTTCAATCACTCAAAACGTTCATTCATCAGCATTTCTCCTGTTTACATTTTACTTGTAGACATTCCTTTTCTCTTTGGCTGTAGAATGTGGAATGATACTGTTAATGCTTATATAATCGAATGGGCTTTCACGTATTTGCACACAATGAAGAGAACCTCTGTGCATGTAAAATTCTTTTAGTACGAACATTTTGGTTGCAAGTTACCCCTTAAAGATGAAAGCAACTTTCTTTTCTTATTCTCGTTTCTAGCCACTAGAAAAAAAAAATGCTAGGCATGAGAGGTGTTTTTCTCCATCTTGGTTCTGTTTCAAGCTTTAATTTTTTTAGGATCTAGAGACATCCAGATAATTACGCTAATGCTTTTTTTCTCTGACCCTACGGCCTGCAGGGTTCAATTGAGTATGTATCTGTCGGAGAATTTAAAGTGGCCCTTAGACAATCCTTGGTAGAACTTTGTGCTGGGGCTTTTGTGCAGGATCCAAAAGTTTTATTCTCAATATGTGACCTGAAAATTGTAATGAGACCTTCAAACTCAAGGAAAGGCCCACGTAATCCCAAAACTCGGAAATCTCGCTCTGCTGGCAAGGGAAAGTTGGTGCTTGCCGCCAATATTGCTAGGTTTTTTTCGGTTTCTGTGACGAATATGGTCATACAGGTATATATTGCCATCATCTCTTTTTCATGTTGATAATTCTGGCTGATGCTTCGTTGATGTTTCTGTGTTTCTTTGAAATCCTTTGTTAAACGGTTAACAACACAATCATTAGTTAAGCTTGCAGATGAACTTTACACTGTTTTTGATGACCACATCTTATTCCACGGCAGCTTAATTACACACCTCCATAAAGCAGACAGAAGAAACATTTCCTTGTCAAAATGAGCTCTATGTATTAGATGACACATGCGTTTTACATTTTTTGTGGCGGTCATGCTTGTTCAAGTTAGAGTGGTTTGCAGTTGAAATATTGCAATCAAGGGACTTGTGACTCATAGACCTTTTATAACTGCTTTACGACTCCAAATTTATGCTAACATCATTACTTTTACTGGCCATTCTTATTTTCTCTTGAAAAAGTTCAGACTCAAAAAGCTACAGCAGAAGTCAAGGAGCTGGAACTTGATTTATCTAAGGATCGGGGATCAGCAAGTTTTTTCATGAAGTTGTACATAGTGCCCATTCTTGTAAAGATTGGTGATCCTCGAGTTTTTTCTACCCAGTCATTTGAGACAAACAGTGACATCTGTCCTCCAAACCATACAAGTCCCGCCATTATAGAGAGTTCTTCACCTTCTTTTTGGTGTCAAAAGCTCTCCTTATCGTGTGAATTTGCTCATAACAGGTACCTTCTGTTTGATATATTGCTTTTGGTTTCTATATGAAGTAGATTATTCATAAATGACATATAAATAGAAAATAGTGTTAAGCAAGATTAAACTATGTTGCCTGGGTTCTTTTGAATCCACAGAGGATACAATTGTTCGTACGAATCTTTCTTATAAAAGAAGCAATAAACATAATTTTTCACATTTAATTGTTAATCTTCCTGGCTTCCATATTGTGATCTTCTGGGAGAAGACAATCAAGTGCAAGCATAAAGAACGTGGAAGTTGACCTTGGTGATGCTGTTTTTAACCTTAATGAGAAGATGCTGTCCAAAAGGAAGACCTCGTCCAGTTCTTCTTCCACTGGTGAAGTTGATGGATCAAATCCTAACTATGCAGCTGTTGAAAAGCCTCAAAAGCAACCAGCTGCTGTATCACTCTCAAAGCATGCTTCAAATTTTCCTGAAAAGGTGAGTATGTCTCGTGGGGTTTTGAGATAACTGGAAGAAGCATTTTCCATTAACTATGCCTTATTTATCTTGTAAACATGCTACGACACAAGTTCAGAGGGAATTCAAGGTTCATTTCAATTTCTTGACCCTTTGTTCCGTTTTTTGGTTGCTGTTAGAAATACCTTAATGTATATTTTGGCCTAATGTTGTACTAAAAGGCCAACTCTGGAATGCTAGGACTATTGCTTTTGTGCTGGTTGCAAACTTGCAATAGCAACCGCGTTAGAACAATCTATGTTTGTACTAAGAAATTTATTTGCATGCAGTTTGTTGTTATGGTGCAGTCAACCAATAACACAGGTAGACTCTTAAGAATGTCTTTGACTTTATATGGCAGGTTTGCTGTGGGTTAACAAAGCTTGATGTCAGATTTGTAAATCAAGAACATGGTTTTGCTATTGAGAATAGCATAACAGGCTTTCAGTTGAGAAGCGACAAATCCCGATCCCGTGAAGAGGCTAAGGAAGATACATGTCTTGATGTTGTAATAGAACTCCACGAGATTCATGTATGTTAATAAGCACTTTTGCTTCTAATGATCCACTGAAGTAGTCTTTTTTATGTGGTTCCTTTAGGCAGTGTCTTAATTATTGAAATTTTCCTTCCATTTCAGTGTTTTAGAGATTCTGGAACTTCAGTCTTGGAGATGACGAAAGTTGGGTTTGTTTCCAAGGTCTATTGTCCAGTGCAGGACCAGGTGAGTCCTGTGAATTTGAAACCTGGGGCTTTGGGGTTGTTACAGGCGATAAATGGTGAGAAAGCACGGTAGGATACCATTTATCCTAAAACATTCTTCACTCGGTATTCCAAATGGGGTTCTGTGTGTTTCACCATTGGATTTCAACTGAAACATGCTTGGTTCTAGTTTTATTTTGAAATTTAGTTTCCCTCCAATGTGCATATCCCTATGATTGATCTGGAATTGTACTTGTTCTTATCTGCGTCTGCGCCATATGCCACTTACTCATCTTTGGCATGGTAGGAAAGGGTTCTATAATAGGATTACATTACACTGGATTCTTAAATTGTTGTTGGTGTCTTCATATCCTCGTAACTTGGGTTATTGTCTTGTTTTTCAATTGAAGTACATGGGTATAGTTCCTTTGTATTGCACATATTTTGCAATTGGACTTTGAACAGAATCTCCTGTATGATTTGATCACCAAATTTTGGTGTCATTTTCAGGCATCTTCTTGTGTTAAAGCTGAGGTTGAGATTACGTTGGGAGGTGTAGTGAGCAACATCATAATGACCCGTTTTGAGCCATTGTTGCGCCTACATTTCTCTAGAAAGAAAAAGATGGTTCTTAAAGAGGAAAAACCTAAAACTATGAAATCAGAGTCCAATGGTCTGAAAGGTATTACGTGGAAATGTTCTATCTCAGCGCCTGGCATGGCTGTCGTGCTGTATGATGTTGGAAGTTCTCCTTTATACCGGGTAAGTAACAGGCATATGGTTTATTTTTTGTCCTTTTGTCACAGAATTTCTTGGAAGTTTCTGATTGTTCTAGCCCTCTGTTATATTTAAAAACCCTGTTGTCTCTCTTGCAGATTTTGCGCAATTTTGTATTACATCAACAAGTTTTAGCTAAAATCATTACTACGCAGAAGTTTAATGTCCAGTTTAATTGCATTTTATCTGCAGTGTTGCTTAGAATCATTGCATGTCACTGCAAATGATTCGTCAAACACAGGAACTGGAGTACAGATGGAGCTAAGTGAACTGATTCTATGCGTGGTAGATGAAAATCAGGGATGCTTGAAAGAAAGCCTTTTTGGTTTAGATTCAAGACCGGGTTCCCTAATCATTATAAGAAAGGTCAGACTAGATTGGGGCAAGAAGGATTGGGTGTTATCTGAGGAAGATGGTAATAAAAGTAAGCCAGTTTTGGGAGTTGATGTGTCGGGTATTGACCTTTTCTTTTCTTTCAAGAGGCTTGAATCGCTTATAGTAACTGCAATGTCATTCAAGGCTCACATTAAAAGTTTATCTGGTCCCAATGAGAAGAAAACACAAGACAAAGGAACACATAAATCCAAGTCGTCAGGCAAAGGGGCTCAACTCTTGAAACTCAACATAGATTATTGCACTGTGAATATGTCTGGTGATACAGGCCTGGAGAATACAATCATCGAAGATCCAAAGCGTGTCAATTATGGTTCACAAGGTGGTAGAGTTGTCATTAGTGCCCTAACTGATGGCTCCCCACGAACTGCCAGCATTTTCAGGGATGTTCCTAAGGAGTGTGAGAAGTTGAAATACTTGATGTCTTTTGAATTATTTAAATTGAGTTTTACTCTTAATAAGGAGAAACAGTCAACACAGGTGGAACTTGAAAGAGCTAAAACTGTCTATCAGGAATTTCTTGAAGAACCTCATGCAGTTTCGAGAGTGACTCTATGTGACATCCAAAATGCTAAGTTTGTACGCCGGATTGGTGGCCTTAAGGAAATTGCTATCTGTTCACTTTTCAGTGCCTCTAATATTGCTGTCAGATGGGAACCTGATGCACACATTTCAATGGTCGAGCTTGGTTTACGTCTGAAGTCTGTGGTACAGGCTCAGAAACTTCAGCAACATGGCGATGGAAAACCAGAAGATGGTTCTACTGCTAGAGATGATGGACAGAAGAAAGATGCAATCAGTGTCTCGAATTCTGTTGATAAGCAAAAGAAAAAGGAATCCATATTTGCTGTTGACGTGGAGATGTTAAGCATATCTGCTGAGGCTGGAGATGGGGTTGAAGTTGAGGTACAGGTTCAGTCAATTTTCTCAGAAAATGCGCGTATAGGAGTTCTCCTTGAAGGACTCACGCTTGGTTTTTGTGGATCGAGAATATTCAAGAGTAGTCGGGTACAGATATCACGAATACCTAGTATGCCCTCTGCTTCATCCAATGCAACAAGAGTTGCCAGCACTCCATGGGATTGGGTAATTCAAGGACTTGATATACATATATGCATGCCCTTTAGGCTACAGCTGCGTGCTATTGATGATGCTGTTGAAGAAATGCTGAGAGCTTTGAAGCTTATAATTAACGCCAAGACTAGACTCATCTTTCCAGTTAAAAACGAGAGCACAAAACCTAAAAAACCTGGGTCTGCAAAATTTGGCCGTGTTAGATTGTGCATTCGCAAGCTTATATTTGATATTGAGGAAGAACCAATTCAGGGTTGGCTTGATGAGCATTATCATCTTATGAGGAAAGAGGCTTGTGAGCTAGCTGTACGGTTGAAATTCTTAGATGAATTCATTTCCAGAGGAAACCAGCTTCCTAAGAGTGGAGGAGTTGATGCAAACGACGAACGGAAGATTTCTTTTGATGGAGAAGAAATTGACATCCAGGATACTTCCGTTATCCAAATGATGAAAGAAAAGATGTATAAACAGTCATTCAGTTCATATTACAAGGAATGCCAAAGTTTAGAACCTTCAGAAGGTTCAGGTGCCTGTAAAGTGGGATTTCAGGCTGGTTTTAAGATGAGCACTTCCAGGACTTCTCTTCTATCTGTTTCTGCTACAGATTTTGATCTAACCTTGATAGCTATTGATGGAGATGAAGCTGGGATGATAGAAGTGGTAAAGAAGCTCGATCCTATATGTCAAGAGAATGACATACCATTTTCTCGGCTGTATGGGAGCAACATTCGGTTGACCACTGGCACTCTTGTTGTTCAGTTAAGAAATTACTCATTTCCTCTTCTCTCAACAACCTTGGGAAAATGTGAAGGCTGTGTTGTACTGGCCCAGCAGGTAAGATTCCCTCCACCCTTTTACAAAGCATTTCACCTTTAGCATGATATCGTGAAGCTTGTTTTTATTTCTGAATATTCCTTCTTAGTCCAGGGAAAAGAGCTGAGTTTAATGATTTGTGGGAATTTTGTTGATGTCTTTAAAGAATGTAGAACTGAGAAGACACAATACATACTTTAAATTTGTAAATTTCACATCTTCCGGCTAAATCTGGAGCACATTAGGTTTTCCTTCCTTAGTTATTTTTTATTCATTATAATTTAAATTCAGGAATACGGGATGAACTCTGTCTCCCTGCTTTCGCTATTGAAACTGATATTTTCTCCTTTATACATCAAACAGAAACCCAAAACCGTACCTTCTACATAGTTTCTAAAAATTCTTTGAGTTGTGAGATCGTTTCTGTCCTATGATATTTAAGGGATACAAATCCAGTGGGATCAGATGTTGATGTTAGCAGACAGGAAATCTCATATATTGTATCATAAATTATTTGGTTATACATGCCCATAAAACACATTGACTTGTGAGATGTTCATGCTTCAATTCGTTAAAAAAAGTTGTATCTAGCCTTTTTTTAATTATAATGTTCGATTTTCGATTTTACTTTGATATTTGATTTCTTGTGATGTTTTTATTTTCTTTATTTCTTATTCCATTAGCTGTTCTTCTTCCTTTGAACTAGGCAACGGCTTTTCAGCCCCAAATCATCCAAGATGTATATGTAGGAAGATGGAGAAAGGTGCAGATGTTTCGTTCAGCTAGTGGCACTACTCCACCGATGAAAACATACTTGGATTTGCCGGTATATTTTGAGAAAGGAGAACTCTCCTTTGGAGTTGGATATGAACCAGTTTTCGCTGACATTAGCTATGCTTTTACGGTGGCTCTTCGTAGAGCCAACCTCAGTCTCAAGGGTCCTGGCCTTCCTCAGCCTCCCAAAAAGGAGAAAAGCTTGCCATGGTGGGATGAGATGAGAAATTATATCCATGGAAATACAGCCTTATTCTTCTCGGCAACAAAGTGGATTGTTCTTGCTACTCCCGACCCCTATGAAAAGCATGACAAGCTTCAAATGACCTCTGCTTCTATGGAAATGTGGCAATCAGATGGTCGTATTTACTTTTCAGCCGAGGATATAAAAATCTTTACAAGTAGTCTTGAATGTTTGGCTAGAAATTACTTGAATGCTCCGACTGGTCCATCAAGTTACCCTTTCCTTCAGGCTCCACGTTTCAGCCTTGAAGTTAGGATGGATTGGGAATGTGACTCTGGAAGTCCATTAGATCACTATTTATTTGCTTTGCCTGTTGAAGGGAAGGCTCGAGATAAGATCTATGATCCATTCAGGTCTACTTCTCTCTCGCTTCGCTGGGACCTTACTTTCAGACCTGAGAAACATTCCCCACATGTCTCTGCGGCTGATCAATCAGTTGCAAGTGCAACAACCAAAGGATCACATACTAAGTCTGGGAATATGTGTAGTCCTCTTCCCACAATAAACATTGGTGCTCATGATTTAGCATGGGTGATCAGATTCTGGAACATGAATTATCTCCCTCCTTACAAGCTCCGTACTTTCTCCCGGTGGCCTCGCTTTGGAGTTCCAAGAATTGCCAGATCAGGAAATTTGTCTCTGGACAGAGTGATGACAGAGTTTATGCTCCGCATCGATATTACACCTATCTCTATAAAGCACAAACCACTGGATCCCAGTAATTCTGCCAGTGGCTTGGTGTTTAATGTCTCGAAGTTGAAATATGACCTCTGTTTTAGCCGTGGGAAGCAGAAATTCACTTTCGAATGCAAGCGTGACACTCTTGATCCTGTATACCTGGGTTTAGATCTTCATTTACCTAAGGCCTTTATCAGAAGGGATGATGATTCATCAAAACCAGTTCAGATGTCCAGGGTAGGTTCACAATCTGGATCAGCAGATAGAGCAACTCCTGAAAATTCCGAGTATATCAATGGTTGCATGGAGAAGCATCCTGATGATGGGTTTCTGTTTTCATCTGATTATTTCACAATCAGGAGGCAGGCCCCCAAGGCTGACCCAGAAAGATTGTTGGCATGGAAAGAAGAAGGAAGAAAATATCATGAAAGAGTGGATGCAAGATCTACTGCTGAACGGGGAAGTGAAACTGAGGATCCTACTAATTCAGATCCAAGTGATGATGATGGATACAATATCGTGATAGCTGACAATTGTCAGCGTGTTTTCGTTTATGGGCTCAAATTGTTGTGGAACATAGAAAACAGAGATGCTGTTTTATCATTTGTCGGTGGTATGTCAAGAGCATTTCAACCTCCCAAGCCTTCCCCATCACGTCAGTATACTCAGAGAAAGTTGCTTGAGGACAATCAAAAGCATTCTGAATCAGTAGTTTCTCAAGATGGCCCCTCCAACCCTCTTTCCTCAGGCAGTAGCAACCCCGCTCCTCAATCTGTGGAAACCCCAGATCTACTTTCATCCTCATCAGATCCAAACAAAAATGAGATCTTGACATCTGTTCCAGATGGTAACTGCTGTTTGAACCCTTCAATATGTCTGTTTGAAGCTATCACATATCGTGTCTTAAATGTATGTCAGTTAGGCTCAGTGTTCAGTCTTTTCTGTAATCTTACGTTTGACCCCCTATTAACCTGTCTTGATGTAGTCCTAGCAAAATCTGGGAATTCAAATGGCTCTGAAGAAGGTGGAACGCGGCATTTTATGGTGAACGTTATTGAGCCACAGTTCAATCTCCACTCCGAAGAAGTGAATGTAAGCCTGGACCAATCTCTGAGGCTTTAAAACTGTAACATTTAATACTCTTCTGGGCCTAGGGTTACAAAGATACAACATAAGTTTATGACTTCCGTATCTTAAACCCCAAGGTTTAAATGTGTCAAATTGTCGTCATTATTTCATTAAAAGTTCTCTCTTCATCTACCAGGGTAGGTTTTTGCTTGCTGCTGCTAGTGGTCGTGTTCTAGCACGATCATTTCATTCAGTCATTCGTGTTGGGTGTGATATGATTGAAAAGGCTATTCAAGGTGAAAATAATGATAATCCTGAAAGTAGTGCTGAAATGACATGGACACGCATGGAATTGTCCATGATGCTGGAGCATGTACAAGCTCATGTTGCGCCTACTGATGTTGACCCAGGAGCCGGAATTCAATGGCTCCCGAAGATTAGAAAGAGAAGTTCCCCAAAAGCAAAGCGTACTGGTGCACTGCTTGAAAGGGTTTTCATGCCTTGTGATATGTACTTCCAGTATGCCAGGCACAAAGGTGTGACTCCTGACCTGAAGGTAAACATTTTTTTTCTTTGTTTCTTATGTCACATAATTATTCAATACTGGGGACTCTTATTTAACTGCCATCTGCTACAGGTAAAGCCGTTAAAGGAGCTTACTTTCAATTCTCGTAATATAACAGCATCAATGACATCACGTCAATTTCAAGTTATGCTGGATGTTCTGAGCAATCTTTTGTTTGCAAGGCTACCAAAGTAAGTATGAGTGCATGTAAATTGATTAAATTTATTGAATGGATTTCAAGTTTATTTACTGGTGTTCCCACTGGTCAGCCCGACTGTGCTTCTTGAAACTGAAGTAATATATCCCTAATATAGGCTTCAGAAAGACAGTTTGCAACTTTCTGGTGAAGAAGATGATGATGTTGAAGAGGAAATTGACGAGGTGGTTCCTGATGGTGTTGAGGAAGTGGAGCTAGCGAAAATTGAAGTTGAACAGAAAGAGCGGGAGCGTATGTTGCTTCTTGATGACATCAGAAAATTATCTCAGCATTGCAGTACCTCTGGAACTCAAAATCTTGACAAGGAAGAAGATTTTTGGATGATCGCTGGTGGAAGACCCGAGTTGGTAAGGAAAGTGTTCTATTAGAAGTAACGATTTATGTTCGCATCGAATGACATCTGAGAAACACAGTTTTTTTTTTACTGTAGGTGCAAGGGCTGCAGAAAGCGCTCTTGAGTGTGCAACAATCCAGGAATGCGGCATACACTGCACTGCATACTGCTGTGCAGAACGCTGCTGAACTGAGGCTGTTGGAGAAAGATAAAAGCAAAAAACCATCTTCAGCCATGCGTATTTCCTTCCAAATCAACAAGGTCATCTGGAGTATGCTTTTAGATGGAAAAACATTCACCGAGGTTGAGATAGACAATATGGTAAGCCTTCCATTTTTGTGCATGTATGTCTTCAATGCTCGAGCTTGCGTATTCATTCAGTAAATCATCGAATAGAAATGATTCTGCATTCTATTATTCCTTCCAGTATTTAGCATGGTTCATTTTATTTTGTTTGGACTCCACGTTATTGGTTCTGTTTGTTAGCCGTTGCATCCATGCAAACAAACCTCTGTCTTTTCGTTGTTCTATTTAGACTCGACTATATGCTCTTTTACTTTGTTAAGGAAGTTGTTGAGACTTTTCTTTTGTTTATGCTTGAAGATTTATGAGTTTGACCGGGATTACAAAGACATTGGAGTTACCCAATTCACAACTAGATACGTTGTCTTGCGGAACTGTCTGCCTAATGCCAAGTCTGATACTGTTCTGTCGGCTTGGAATCCTCCACCCGAATGGGGCAAGTGAGTTTTCTCTTGAGCTCTCTTTCTTTCTCCTGTCGTTGATTTTGACATGATGGTTAGTCGTGCAACAGATATACAACTTCATTATCTTTTCCTGCTCAAAAAACAAATCGCAGTGAATCCGTTGCCCTAGACTTCTTTGTGTACTTGCCTTGTGGATGATTTTGTGTTTCTACCTGATAAATGCTCACACTACCTCACGTGTTATAATTTCTTGTAATTTTAATCATGGAAAGTCTCTGTCAATAAGAAGAAGGTTCTCAGCGTCACAGCTAGAAAATCAGTGTGCGATATTTTTTATACAGGAAAGTAATGCTGCGAGTAGATGCAAGACAAGGAGCTCCAAAAGACGGACAGGCTCCTTATGAACTTTTCCAGGCAAGTTTTTCTTTTGCTTTCTGTTGTGTTATGTAATATTCTGGGAAATCAGCCTTCTTTCTTGAATGATGACAAACCAAAAAGAGCTGCTACTGGAGAAAAAGACTTGTACTAGTTCTTCCCAAATCTAAGACTCTAAATGATCTCTAAGTACCACTTGTTTTTTCCATCTGTTACTTGACGCAGTACTTTGTTTCCAGATTGCTCGTCTTATATCTCATGATAATTTAGTATATTTGTATGATTTTTGTTTGATAGGTTGAGATTTACCCTCTAAAAATCCATTTGACGGAGACAATGTACAGAATGGTGTGGGAGTATCTCTTCCCAGGAGAGGAGCAACATTCACAGCGAAGGGAGGTGAGTTGATTATTAAAACGGCCGTTTTCATCAAATTGACAAAATCTAGCAAATATTGCAGCTATGAAATGGCATTAGGTTTTCACACTTTGGATATGACCCATCTTTGTATCTTGATCCCCAGGAAGTCTGGAAGGTCTCGACAATTGCAGGATCAAGACGAAGGAAGGGTTCTTTTGCTCAAGAAACTTCGGCTTCAATCTCTGCATCTGATTTGACCCATGTGCGCTTTGTGTTTTATTCTTCTTTCTCCTCTCCCTTGCTTCTTACATTGTTAGCTTTAACTCCAGGAATGCTTCATATATACATTCTTCTCCCATTTTTGCAATGTTTTCAGGGATCGAAGACTCAAAACCCGAAGTCTAGCACAATTCGCGGGTCTGGACCTGAGTTGAGAAGAACCTCTTCTTTTGACAGGACATGGGAGGAGAATGTGGCTGAATCTGTAGCTAATGAGCTCGTCTTATCTTCCATCGAGCAACAAAACGATTCCTCAAAAAACAAGCTGAAAGATTCAAAAACAGCCAAGGCTGGACGGTCAGTTCATGAAGAAAAGAAGACTGAGAGACCATTAGAAGAAAAGAAAACTAGACCCAAAAAGATTATGGAGTTCCAGACAATCAAGATCAGTCAGGTTACCCCTATATACTGAGATCCTTAATTTCATGTTATGATTTTGAAAGCCAGCAAACTTATTTATCTTACTCTGGTTGAGCGTTAGGTGGAACTCTTGATCACATATGAGGGCTCAAGATTCGTTGTGAGTGATATGAAACTGTTGATGGATACATTCCATCGTGTTGAGTTCAGTGGCACATGGAGGAGACTCTTCTCTCGAGTTAAAAAGCACATCATATGGGGAGTCCTCAAGTCTGTGACCGGGATGCAAGTAATGGAAACACCTTGTTTCTTATTTCCGACCTCTTTAACCTTTTAATCGACCCTTAGCAATTCAAAGACAAAACCCGTGCCCTGATCTGATTTTGTAGGTTAAGAAATTCAAAGACAAAACCCATGTTCCGGAGGATGATCTAGCTTTGGCAGTGAAAGACCAGCCCGGTAGCTCAGATCAGTATCCAGGAACATGGGTGAAGCGCTCTGGTGACAACGCTGGTGATGGCTTTGTTACCTCCATCCGGGGTCTCTTCCACACCCAAAGACGCAAGGCCAAGAAGTTTGTGCTCCGAACTATGAGAGGAGAAATAGACGAGAGCTTCCCGGGGGAATGGAGCGATAACGAAGCAGAATTATCTCCCTTTGCTAGACAGTTGACGATCACCAAAGCCAGGAAACTCATCCGGCACCACTCTAAGAAATTCCAGACCCAAAGGCATAAAGGTTTGTTCCATGTCCCTTCTTCTTCATCTTCACTGCCTGAAACTAATCACCAATCTATCGATTAGTAGAGATTCGTGGCCAAAGATATGAATCATGAAGACCGTACAGGTTTCTCTCTCGTGCCAACTAATGGTTAGAGACGCATGACCAAGAAATCTCAATAGGGTTCTTCCTCTGACACCGAGCTTTTTCGCGACAAGGGCTCGGGTTAAAGACTGGTTGCATTGATCTTAGACCATGATAAAAATAAAAAAGGGTGGTGACTTTTGCTTACCACCAAAGCTAATTCAAAAAGGCCTTTTGTTTCAGGTTCTAAGGAGGAGGATTCGCCTTCTTCGTCTCCAAAGGAAGCAGGCACATATGAATCTGACTCTTCAAGTGGATCTTCAGTTTACGAAGAGTTCCTTCAGCAGAATCAAATTTAAGATTTATAGAAACCAAAGTTTTGACCTTTTTGCCTCCTCTTTCCTTTTTGTCCTCCAATAAAAAAACAAGTGTAGATTAGCAGAAAGATTTTGCAGATTATTATCCCATCTTTATAATATATACGGAAGTTCTACGCAAAACTTTATGCGACCGTTTCCTGCATCCTCTAAAGACTAAATCTTAATACTGAAACTTAAAATCAAATAATACATTACTCTTATGGTAAGGCTTGAAAAATTAAACAAGAGACGAGAAAAGGGTATTGTTACAAAAAGAGAACAGTTCTACCTTCATCTTTTCAAATATATATCTACATATATAGGCCTTGTTATCATTTTCATGTCTTAATGTTTCGTCATCACCAACCGAGGAGGATACAATTCCAACCGGCAAACATTAGTCTTGGAAGCTGTTGTAACAAAAAAGGAAATAAAACTTGGAGCGGGAAGCCTTTGTAAGTCCAATCTTTGACACCTTCACATTTGCAGAAAACAAAATTTATATTGTCAGATCTTATATACAGAGTTTGCTAGCATGATGAACATGACAGGGAAACATGCATGCTCCTCTTGATTGCCATAGTTGATCACTTGCGTGACGAGCTTTAAATTTATACCCGACACACAACTAATCCGCAAGTATACGGATGTCGTAGTACCGGGGTCGAACACAGGGACTTAAGCGGTTAAGCTAGGAATCGACTAAAACTAGGAAAATGGAGAAAATAAAATCGGAGAATTATTTTTGTTGGTTTTCGTAAGTTGCAGAAAACTAAAAGAAAGAAAGTAAAATCAAAGACAATCACAATTCAAGAGGAGATAATCGATGGGAAAGGTTATGGGAATCGGGTTTCACCGATCATGCAAGGATGCCGTAAAGGATTATGGACCTAGATCATGCTCATTCTAAGGTGAGGGATTCGAAGACTAAGGTCGGGTTCGGTTCTCTCAAACCGAAAATCCGCTATCCAAGAGAGCACTCTAGCCATTTTCATGGTCTAGAGTAAAATCCCGAATGCATTAAATTTCCTTATCATAATCCTAGATAAAACCGAATCAAATTTCTTCGGATTCAATTTCAACCCAATTGATTGAATGCATCAAGAGACCAAGAACCCATGTCTCCATGTAATTCACAATCCTAAAATCTACCCACAAAATTCTTATCCAATGGGTAACATTAAACACCATTCAATCAACCTCTAGCAATCAAAACCCAAGCAATTGCATCACTCAATTTAACAAATCCTAGGTTTCCCTAAACATTCATTCAAGAGAGATAAACTTGGAGAACACAAATTTCATTCAAAGCAAGGATTTGAAAGCATAAAAAAGCATAATCTTGGGTCCAAGGTGAATACAAGCATCCGCAAACTCCTTCTTTCTCCTTCAAGATTTCGGCCCTAGGTCTTCTGGAGGAGAGAAAATCGCCTCCTTTGCTTTCCCCAATCGAGCTCT